CTCCGTGCCAGGCTGCAGCGCCGAGCAGCTCAACCCGAGCAAGTGGAAACGGGGGGGTGGGCAGCGGCCCCGCCGGGCCGGGCTCCGCACCCGGGGCTGCGCCGCTCCTGCTTTTCCTGCCCGCCGCTCGGCGGCAAATGCTCGGTGCGCTTTGAAATGGGAAGTCGTGGCGGCACCCGGAGCTCTGCTTTCAAGTGTAAAACACGCGTTTTGGTTCAAATGCGCGCCAGAGGGTTGTTTGATTTTTTTTTTCCTCCCCTTGGGGTGTGCATGCGGAATAGAAGAAATCACAGTTGGGACATAAAAATTTTAGCAAGGCGACAAATTGGAAAATCAATACACCAGGTATTGGTTTCATAGTTTCAAGGAAGCTCTTATTGTGCTTTTATACAGACAGTGATCCAGCTTCTTATTATCTACTAAAGTTAGCATCTATTTAGAGGGCTGTGCGAATAGGATTATCTTTCTACATATGAAATATATGTCAAAACTAATTTGCACCCCCTGGCTTGTTCAATAGGGTTTTTTTTTTCCACCCTTTATCTTCTTGGACCTTCCACCCCCACCACCAAGTATTTGTGGCTGATTCTTTTTGAATGAATTTTGGAAGGGTGTTGGTGGATTGGGGTTCTGTTTTTTTTTTTTTTCTTTCTTCCTTTCTTTTTTTTTTCTGGAGAGTTCCCAGCTGGCAACAGCACTCTACCTTCCACAAAACTTGAAAGGATGATGTCCCTTGCAGGAAATGAATGAGTCGATAACATCTGACACCAGTGACCAGTCCAGTGACCCCAACCTTAATTCCACTAATACTGGAGGCCTGCAGATCTCAGTAAAGACCCTTTGCAAATTTTCCTGTCCCCCTTTCCATTTTACAAAATCAGCATTTGTTTTGCAATGTAAGAAATACTTTGTAACCAATAGATTTGCATTCAAAAATTTCCCCATTTTGTAGTCTTACATTTATTCCTTGAAAAACAACACACCCCATTGAATTTTAATTCAAATCAAACTTGTGAACAAAAGACAATTTTTCCATTTAATGAACTCAATCAACTTATTTGTGTCCGTTAACCAATATTCTAGTCTCCAAGGAATTTTTATACCAAATGTTGTTAGAAGAAATCAATCTGAACAAATAAAGACTTTAAAACTGTATAAAAGAGAGTATTTTCTGCCTTTTTAGGGGTGGGGACAGAGAGCACTAACATCTGATAAATATGCCCTGCTCTGCTGCAAGAAATGTAGTTTTAGGCACTTCAGGTAAGTATTGTAACCATTTTTTTCTTCAGGTAACCTTAATTTGGTTCAAAGCTGCGCTTTCACCTATGTTAAATTTCACATATTTATTATAGATGAGAAATCGTTCCGGTCATAACATGCAAGCATATAAAATCGCTGGTGATTTAATCTTGTAAAATAATCGCTATTGTAAAGGGGGAAGGGAGGTTACAAGCAAAGAGAAATGGTATATAGCACGAATGCGTAAGGCAGGTCAGTGTAGGAAGTCGACCTCCACTGTTGAAATAACCTATAGGAAATTTACGGTTGAAGACTGCAAAGGAATTCCAGGATTTAAAGCTTCTGCTCCACTTGCCAGACTGCTTGTATTTTTACACTTTTGCCCACCCTCGCTTATTTCTACCAAACGATCAAACTCTGAGCACCCAGGGTATTTCACACACAAATTAGACGAGAGCACGGGAATTTTACGCTTTCCTGAAAGGCAACAACAGGAGTAAACAGGCCCATCGGGGCAAAGGCGTCCCTCTTAATTGGGCAGACTGATCGACGCCACTTCCAAAACAACAGCAAGTGCTTTGCAAATGCACAAAACCCTTTTATTCAAGTTCTGCACGGATCAGTTTGCTGCTTCGGCTTTTATTTGTGGGTGGGTGGG